TGGGTTGGGTTTGAAAAAGTATCTGTTGTTAACATTCTTTTTTTCATTCGGTTTTTCCAGTTACGAGTCCTTTTTTAAAGCTGATCGTTTTGTGTTCATTTTGTTTAGTTCTTTTTTCCTAACAGATTTAATGTTTAGTATAGAGCTTAGAAAAATTCGCAGTGTGAGATAGGCAAAAGTAAGGCATGTAGCAACATCAGCACGGCGAAGGGCACCTTTAAAGACAAAGAAGGCCAAAATATTTTAAGTCGAGTGATAGCGATTGCTGCATGAGTCGTACGATTTTTGAATCAAGCGGGCAGGCAACTAGTATATATATATATATATATATATATATATATATATATATATATATATATATATATGGAAAACTGAATTGTGTACCACCCAAGACATATATATATCCATCTTGTTCAGCTAATTCGCCTTGCAGATGACATTGCTGATATAAACGCGATCGCTTGCACTGGTAATCTTAAATAAACAAAGGCATAAAGTAACTTTTGAATGACATTCCTTATCAGGAGATCGACGATCATGGCTCTCCACTGTCTCTTTTTCTTAATTACAACATTCATCAGACTTTCTAATATCGCGTAACTAAATGAAATACTGGTATTATTATGAGTTATTAAAAGAGTATTTGGTTTTGGTGAAATGTATTTGGTATAAATACCCAACAAAACAGAATTGACGTTATTTTTCGAATGGCTTGCCTCTTCAGGACGCAGACAATCACGGCTCTCCACGAATTCATTTTCTTTATTTCTGCATTCATCAACCTTTATAATATATCCTGAAATTATTAGACGAAATATGGTAAATTTCATAAATCTATATATAAAATCCTATAATTTCCGTTAGTTTGTTCGTCTGTCCCTCACACCCTCTAAAATAGTCATACACTGACCGATCGAAACCAAATAAACCAAATAAGTGGAGACATATAAGGGATACAAAGTACAATTGGTTTTACTAGGGTACGTAGTTTAGTACAATAAATATTCATCAATGTTTTGGAAAAATTAAAAGTTTTATTATTGTTAAGCGTTGCATATCTCTGTGTAGTAGCAGTCGTAGTACAGTTCTCCTTGTTATGTTTAGCAAACGGGTTTGCTAGGCATAGCACTTATGTTCGCCAGTTGTTCTCTATGTGTACTTGTCTATCTAATTTGCATATGAAACTACAATTACTTAACATACGAAATACTCCCACTATTTTAAAAACAATTTTAATGATTAAAACAACAAATACTTATTTAATAAAAAGGCAATATTGTTTTTTTCTTTGATTTTTTATTTATACAAGAATCCAGTTTCCGGTTCGCCCTGCGTTGGCAAGAACTATAAACAAATCACAAGGCAAAATATATTCCAAAAAGTTGCAATTCCAGAAACAAATATTTACGCATGGCTGTGTGTTGCATGCTCAAGAGTAAGAAATAATAAGATTTTTTCTTCGCTGTTTAAAAGGAAAACAATTGTTTAAAATATTATCTATAAAATTAAATGAAATTAAAGAAATTATTAAATCGTGAAGTAGTGTTATTGTCAAAGTATTTTTCCAAACAAATCCGGTTATTCAAATTTCATTGATTGATTTGCGAAATTGAACGATACGTCGAATTTGTAAATCTTGACAAAACGGTTAGCGATAACTTAAAAAAAAACAAATACCGTGACGACTTAAGCACGCGTGTTGCGAAAATTTCTAGTTATTAAGAGAAGAATTGACCATAGTCGAAAAAAAATAGCAACAGACATAATTGACAAATTTAACCCTTGAACATTTTTTTCAAATGACTTGCCTCTTTCGGAGGCAAGCGTTCCAGCCTCTCCAGTGATTCCTTTTCTATATTTCTGGATTCGTCGACCTTTCTAATATAGCCTAAAATTATTAGATGAAATAGTATCACTTCATGAATTTAAAACAAGAGTAAATTGGCCACAGTTGAATGTAATTTGAAGAAATTCTCAACAAACGGAATTCTCAAAGTTTTTCATAAACATATATTGAAGAAAGAAAAGAACAGCCTAAAATAATAGTAAGCAAGTAATATATATATATATATATACATATATATATATATATATATATGGTCCTGGGTAAGACGATAAACTACATCCGCGTCTGGGTAAGAGGATAAACTATGTCCAGCAGCAAGGCCACTGATCAGGGGGTTTTGAGAAGCGTGGAACCACCTCTTAATTGCTGGTGTTCCCAGGTCTATCCTGACCCAGGGTGGTAGCACCTGCTAGGGTCCCAGCTATGGGCAAATAGTTGACCCCCAAACCTGACTTAAAAACTCTATGAAAGTGTAAAAATAGGTTTAATACCAGCAAATAATTTGTATAAAAATTACTAGCGGCAAGAAATTTTTGAAAAAAATAAAATAAAATTACCAGCAATATAAATAAAATAATAAGCCATCGTGGTTGATCTGCCGAAAAAACAAAACAAACCATATATATATATATATATATATATATATATATATATATATATATATATATATATATATGGGCACTAAGGAAGCAAAAAAGCTCACAAATGATAATAAATAATACTAAACAGTAAATATATATATATATATATATATATATATATATATATATATATATATATATATATATATATATATATTTAAACTCAGTGAGTGGAAATACCTGGATAGCAAAGTTTTCCAACAAACTGATACCCGAGGAAAAAAATTAAAAAAAAAAAAGCACACAAAACCTCCGAACAGGGGGAAAGGAAATTGTCCAGTTTCTTAAATCTCTGAAACAAAGAAAATAATCCCGAGTAATATGTTAAAACGAAGAGTGCTCAATACGCTAAGTAGAGCAAAGGTAAATTTAAATAAATCCCTATGAGTCAGCAGGTACACCCTACCTAGATTTCACATGTGATCATCAGGGGTGAATATATATATATATATATATATATATATATATATATATATATATATATATATATATATATATCGATTATAGGTGCAATTTAATTTATAATTACATTCATACAAAAAACAAATATAGAGGTGAATGATTTAAATGGCGAGAATACAACTTCGCAAACAATTTCAATAAGATACAATAACATCTCTATTTTCGTTGTCCCTTATTACCGAGAAGTAAAAAACAAGAACAAAATCTACTTCCATACCTGATGATGTCTGTAGGAACAGACGAAAGCTTGTAAAAATTAAAAGAACCTTATGCAGCTGGAATTTATAAACAGGGATCATATCATTCATATACAGGTTTGGGGTTGGCGTAATCTTATTGAATGATTCATGTAATCATATATATATATATAGCATAATGAAAAGCCACACATACTTTCTTAATATGTATATATAGAAAAAAAAACTAAAAAGTTGAAAATTAAGAAAATAATAATGTTTTTTATGAAAGTATTTATTTATATTTGATATTTCAGATCGACCTCGAACTTTCTTCAGAAATAACTGTTTTTAGAGGTTTGTTTACAAGTAGCGTCCGTCACGAGATGCGGACGTCACGTGATATGGAATGCCACTGCGTTCGAATATTTTTAACGTAAATCTAACTGTAATAATATTTTAGATGTTGTTTAAAAATATACACCCGACAAAAGTAGCTAAATTTGCCCCATTGAAGGAGAAAAACTCACAAATGATAAGAAAGATGGCCCAGTGGATAAAGACGCTGGTTACATCCAGTGTCTAGACCCAAAGAGTTGTGAGTTCAATACCAGTCCACAGCAATCAAAAAACTTGGAGAGTTGAGTTAAAGGGAAATAACTGAGACATCCGGAACAGGCATGGCACCTGGAACTAGAACAATCTACCAAGTGGACGAAATAGAGGGTTCGGTTCGAAATTCCAATCACCTGAAGAAGGCCGGAACGTAGAACGGTCGAAACATTGTGAATATGGCAATAAAGATGAGGATAACAATCCGAATAATGTAAATAATGCGAGTATGCTGTTACCACACAAAAACGATTCAGACGAATGATTGCAGCATTCTAACTTCAAGGCAAGAAATAAAAGAAATATGGCAGATTATACCGAGAAATGGACAACCTTATTGTCTAGCAAGAAATCCCAGCATGCATCTGTATGTTGTGTCTATGAATTTGGACAGGTGATGTTTTTGCAGTCAATGCTATAAAGGTTAGAACGAACAATATCATTCATTTTTTAAATCTTCATTACAACACTTCGTCTGATAGTTTTTCTGCAACATTTTATTCTTAATTTTATTTTAATACCCTCTCGTTCCAGCCAATTATAGATCTCCACAAATTCATTCATTTTATTACGTGTGAAACGAGCGGTTTCTTTCCCACTACACATTCTATGATACGGCCCACTCTATATAGACCAACGAACGGAATTCCTTAATTTCCGGTCTAGTGGCACTTGATCCGAAGAATTTGTATTTATCTGTTTATTTGTTTTTCTTGCTTATTTGTGGACATCGGGCGGTTGCTTTAAATATATTATTTCTAGATCTTCCTGCCTACGCTGTCAACTTGAGATAAAATAATTTCTAATCCTTTTCACTATGTGGGCGTCCTTATCACAGCCAGGCACCAAATGTGTCATACTTTTAAGCATTCTCCAAGAAGGACAAGGAAAAAACGAAGCTGGGAAGGCAGTAAACGTTGCCCATATTATTTGTGATAAATATATTTGTTGAAATTTCATTGACCTTTCAAGTTTTTTTTTGATCAAATCAGACGATCCATTTTTGGGAAATCATTTCCATTACTTACTTGTCGTCTTTCTTATGCCATTCTTTATAAAATGCATTTTTTTCGGTTCCATATCTCTTCTTGTTTTATTATTAATTATTTCGGTAATTATTTTTCTTTCAATCATTCTTTTTTGGTAAAACGTATGGAAATTTTTTGGATTCTTTTACTTACCATTCACAGACTTCCTTTGTCTTTTTATATAAATACTTTTCTTTATTCCATTCATTCATTCTTTGGTTTTGATATTTTGTAG